GGCCCCATGACCAATAACAACAAAAAAAATACTTCTCCAACATTTCAATGAAATTGAAAGTGAAAATTCACTACCAAACTTTTTCTATGAAGCCATCATAATCCTCATCCCAAAACCAGGCAGGGACTCACCAAAGAAAGAGAACTATAGACCCATTTCTTTGATGAACATTGATGCAAACTTCTCAACAAAATTTTGGCCAATCAATTTCAAAAACTCATCAAAAAATCATACACTACAATCAAACAGGATTCATTTCAGGGATGCAAAGCTGGTTAAACACACGCAAATCAATTAATATAATTCATCACATCAACAAGAGCAAAGATAAGAACCACATGATTATCTCAATAGATGCAGAAAAAGCATTTGACAGATCCAACACCATTTTATGATAAAAGCTCTGTAAAAACTAGGAATCCATGGAACATTCCTCAATATAATAAAGGCTTTGTATGACAATCCTATAACCAGCATTACACTTAATGCCAAAAAGCTAAAGTTATTTCCTCTAAACTCAGGAATGAGACAACAATGTCCACTCTCTCCACTAAAGACTTAAAGAGAGACTTCTCTGAAGATGAAATAAGAATGGCAATAGACACATGAAGAAATGCTCAGCTTCTCTAGACATAAAAGAAATGCAAATCAAGAAAACATTGAGATTCCACCTCACCCCGGTTAGAATGGCTAGAATCAAGAAATCTAATAGAAACAGATGCTGGAGGGGATGTGGCCAAAAGGTAACCCTACTGCATTGTTCAACTTGACTTGTTTAACCATTTTGGAAAGTAGTATGGAGGATTCTCAAAAGACTCCTCATAGAGCTTCCCTATGACCCAGCAATCCCACTTTTGGGCATTTACTCAAATGATCACAAACAAGGCTATATTAAAGCTACCAACACAACTATGCTTATTGTAGCATTATTCACCATAGCTAAGATATAGAACCAACCCAGATGGCCCTCTGTAAATGAATGGATCAAGAAAATGTGATATATATATATATATATATATATATACAAATATATATATATATATATACACACACACACACACACACAAATATGTGTGTATATACATGCAATGGAATTCTATGTCTCCATCAGAAAGAATGAAGCCATCCCAAATTTTAGGAAATGGAAACACTTGGAAAAAATTATACTAAATGAACTAAGCCAGAACCAAAGAAACATAGGTCCCATGGTTTCCCTTATTTGCAATAACTAGTATATATCTAGGAAAAGTAGAAAAAGTAAAAAGCATGTGCATATGACCATATAAGATGATGCTAAGCAAAATGAACCCCCAAATAGGGACACAAGTGGTTTTATTTTTTTGCTGTTGTTTTTAATGTATTTATAATGTACTGTGTGATTTTTGTTTGTTTGTTTCTTTTGTATGTTCTTCCCCTATGGTATAATACTTGTTTTCACTGTATTTTATTCTGGTGCCTTTATCTTGTATATTCATTTTTCTAATTTGGAGAGGGGAAGGGAAATAACATAAAGCTGAAATAAGGATATAGGTTGACCCATTGTGACAATGAAATGTACAAGACACTATGTTGAAAATGAACTTTACAACTTCGGGGGAGGAGGAATTGGGGAGATGGGAAGGTAAGGGATGGTAGGGGAAAAACAAAGGAGGAAGTAACAATGCTCTATAGGAAATGTACTCATTACCTTACTTGTGCAATTGTAACCCCTGTGTACAGTTTTTTTACAATAAAAAATACGAAAAAAGAAACTGTCCAAAAACTTGTTGTGGAAATTATAGTGAAAGAAACGGGAAGTAAACCTAGGCTTTATTACTCCTTAAAAGCCCAAATTACTCACTAAAATTAAATAACAAGTTAGGAACATACCATCACATTTCCCTAACTTTTTTTTCTTTGTGAATTTCAAATTGAGCCTTTAATAAGGAAAAACAGGTGGGAAAACTTTGAAAGGATAATAATCATGAGTAATAAGTTTATCCCAAGCATATCTTTTAAATAATTTAAAATCAAATAATATAACTGACCAGTTTATAGGTTAAAGTAATATGATCACCCTAATAGATATTTAAAAATATTTGATAAAATCCACCATCTTCTCCTAATGTAAACTATATTCAAATGAAGAATTGAAGGAAATTTTCTTGATCTGATGGGATTCATCTACAGAAACCAATAGCTAAACATCATACACACTGCTGATAAAGGTAATGCTTTTCTTCTAAAATCAAGAACAAAACAAAGATATCTGGTTTATCAAGTCTTCTGTATACTGCATTGGAAATTCTAGCCAATAAGGGAGGCAAGAAAAAGAAAAGCCAGATTGGAAAAGCAGAGGTAAAATTATCTTTGTTCTTGGTTGACATGATTATGAAACCTACACAAATGCTCCTGGATTAGTGTTTGTTTCTAAATACAAGTTCAGAACAACAAACTCCCTGTACTTTTCTGTAAATTTCTAGTAATGAACAGTATGAAATTCAAAGCCATGAAAATGTCATAAGAGTATAGATTATCTAGGAAAATAATTTGACAAAATATTTGTAAAATTCATATACCAAAGTAATAAATATTGCAGAGTAACCAAATAAGATGCCCAAATAAATTGAGTGATATAACTTGAAGAAAATGATAAGAAATTAAATTAACAGAGACTATTGTCTCATCCGTTTCAGTTATGTTTCATAATACTTAATGCATTAGCCATGTTTGCAGGAGTCAAGTGTCTTCACCCACTTGACTATAGCTTTCCAGTTGGGAAGATGACATTTCCCCCCTTAATCGGAGCTGTTACCCACAGTTCTCTTAAGGACTTCTCGATATGTTACTTTCAAAATGAATTTTTTTGTGTGTTTTTTTTACTTTTTTTCCCCTTTTTTCTTTTTTGGAAAAGAGGATCAAACCAAGGAGATTGCACTTGCTAGGCAAGCATTTTACTCCGAGCTACATCCCAGCTTCAAAATGAAATTTTTACTTGCCATTGTTTTATATAGAACTGAAATAAAATCAACTATTTGTCTAAAGACAAATTAATCTGAAAACAAAACAAAAAAATGGGCTCACTGCTATAATCTCATCTATTAAGGAGGCTGAAATCTGAGGATCACAGTTCAAAGTTAGCCCTGACAAAAAAGCTTGTGAGGCATTTATGTCCAATTAACCAGCTGGAAGAAGAGGTATGGCTCAAGTGATAGAGCATAGTGTTGAGCAGAAAATGTAAGACCAAGACCCCGAGTTGAAGCTCCTTGTGAAAATTACACGCACATGTGTGTACATGTGTGCACACGCGTGCACTCACACAGATAAATAAATAAAAATAATAATGATAAATAAAAAAATGAAAAGACAGGTGGCGTTTGGATTCAGGTAATTCCACCAACTTGGGGATCTTTAGGAAGTTTCTCAACTACCTGGAACTTAGTTTAATGCCTGTAAAAATAGGAAAAGCTCTATTTTCTTTGTAAGGTGCTTTGTAATTAGCTGAATAGACTTCTGCAGAGCATATAATGCAGTCGGCAAATTTTATTCCCTCTACTTTTTAATACATGTAACAAAACATAGCACTCTTAATTTTCTTTCTTGTCAGATAATAGGGCTTGATTAAATACACTACATATGTTTATGAGTTATTTTTTATGAGTTCTAAAAAGTTGAATATTCACATGAAAAGAAAGTATTGGACTGTAGGCAATGAGAGAAATGCCAGAGAATGGTTTTTACAATTGCATGATTGGTGCAGTAATGCTCTCTTTGATACTAGTTTGCAGCCTGTCTGGGGTAAAATACAATTTCCATCTCAGTAATGATCTTAAAAGTCAGCAAGAGTCCCTTTATGCAGGCTGTTACATCCCCTCTTGATTTCCTATGGATCTTGCCTTTCCTGGTGAGCACAGGGAGATGTAAAGACTGGCAAGAGTGTAACTGACCCATTTCAGAATTGAGATTTTCCTCTTCCTAATGAAATAATACATTATGTGCCTATGTAGCCTTTCCTCTTGCACACACTGGGCCTCCTTCAGACTCTTGACTATTCATTTTAGGAATTTATGTGATTTGTTTAAAAGTGGGCTTCAGTGACCTGAAATTTTACCAGCAAGGAAGTCTAACAGACCCCTTTAACACTAAGGGAAGCCTGCATCTTCATTGAATTCAGTTGTGAATCCATCAGAATCTGGACTTTCCTTGTTCGGAGACTATTGTTTCCATTTTATTGCTTCCTATAGGTCTGTTCAGGTTTATAACCTTTAGGCACAGTTGTGGCAGCTTCAAGATGTCCAGAAATTTGTCCATCTACTCTAGATTATTTTCAACTTGAGAATAGTTTTTTAAAGTAGTCCCTCATAATCTTTAGATATTTTTAACATTAGTTGTGATGTTCCCTTTTTAAACTCCCATGATTATTGTGCTTGAGTCTATCAACGCTTGTAAGTCCAAGGATATTTGTTTAATAAACTTGAGTTCACCACTATGTTTGTTGAGCACTGTAATTTGTTCTCCATGGATCCTTCATTGATATGAAGTAATATTCTTTGTCTCTTCTTATTGAATTTAGCCAACATCTATATTTTTCAGATATAATTCTGGCTATTTCTGCTTTCTTGCATTAGGTGTTTGTGCTTATTGTTTATAGTAAAAGTGTGTTTCTTGAAGATAGTGGATGGTTGGCACTTGTTTTTGATTCAGGCTGCTTCTCTACATTGTTTGATTGAAGAGTTGAGTCCATTGACATTTACCATTACTATTGAGAAAAATGCTGTGTGTTTCCTGCCATTTTGTTGCTTTTGTGTTGTTTGCTTCTTTCCTCGCACTGTTTTTACAATCTAATCATCTAGTAGTGTTTAGGTTTTTTTTTGTTTTGATTGTCCTTGTCTAATGTTACATTTCCCTTTAGTATCTTTTGAAGTGCTGGTTTAATGGTCATGGATTCCTTTAGCCATTTGTATTGCATGGAAGGTTCTTTTCTCTGTCAGTTGTGAATGGTAGAATTAATCTAGGTTGACAAAAATATGTAACACTTCACAAATTTGTGTGTCCTTTTTGTGCAAGAGTGATGTTAGTATCATCTGTATCATTCCCACTTTAGTATATGTGTTGCTGAAGCAAGCACAAACCAAATTTTTCACAAGCATTTCAAAAATAAAGGGAAGCAAGAGAGTAAGAGAGACCTTACCACTTGGGACCTGCCAATGTGCTTTATTTCAAAGTTGTCAGTAAGACAAGATATCATACCTTGAGGTATTATTCTCTCAGCCCCAACACTTTCATTTTTCTTCTCTGGGATCACTTTCTTTTTTTTATTGTGAAAATACTGTGCAGAGGGGTTACAATTACATGGGTAAGATAATGAGTACATTTCTTATCAAGCATTGTAGCCTCCTCCTTTGTTTCCCCTTCCCATCCCTTGCCATCCTCCCCCTGTCCCTCCATCCAAATCTCCCCCCCCACCCCCCGGCACCAAAGTTGTAAAGTTCGTTTTCGACATAACGACTTGTACATCTCATTGTTGCAATGGGTCCACCTGTATCCCTATTTAAATGATTTGTTTTTCCCCTTCCCCTCCACAAATTATACCAACATCAAATACAGTGAAAGCAGGGGTTATACTGTGGGGGAGGGACATACAAAGCAACAAAGAAATAATCTTATAAATGTGTTACAAACAATCGCCTGAACGAAAAAGAAAACATTTGAATACATATCTTAGGGTTCATTTCCCTAACATCACCTTATCTGACCTTTTCTGCTGGACTCAGACATATACTAGATATTGCAAATAAGGGAAACCATGGGACCTTTGTTTCTTTGGGCCTGGCTTACTTCACTTAATATAATTTTTTCCAGGCCTTTCCATTTCCTAACAAATGGGGCAATGTCATTCTTTCTGATGGAGGCATAGAATTCCATTGTGTATATATACCACATTTTCTTGATCCATTCATCTACTGAGGGGCATCTGGGTTGGTTCCATATCTTAGCTATGGTAAATAATGCTGCAATAAACATAGTTGTGCTGGTAGCTTTAGTGTGGTCTCGTTTGTAAACATTTGGGTAAATGCCCAAAAGTGGGATTGCTGGGTCATAGGGGAGCTCTATGTGGAGTCTTTTGAGGAACCTCCATACTGCTTTCCAAAGTGGTTGAACAAGTTTACACTCTCACCAACAATGCAGTAAGGTTCCCTTCTGTCCACATCTGGGATCACTTTCTAAATGAAATACCTACACATAAGACTTATACCCAGGTTTTGCTAGTTGGAGTTCCAGCTAGCAAAGTTGGGGCATCTTCTTTTATATCCCATTCTCATCTTGTTCCTTAGAAAATGAACTCCAGGGAGACAAACCTTAGCAATATTCTAACATTTCAAGAAACAGCAGTCTCTTATTTCTAGCTTCTAAAAGTAAAGTAAACAGAGAGCAGAGAAATTGAGTCATCTTAGACCTTATTGACTTGGAAATTTCAGAGACATTGTTTTGTTTGAGAGATGAGAATCTGGTGGTAGAAAACTTGTCATAAAAAGTTTTTGTGTCATAATGAATAGCATGATTTCTAATAAAGAGCATTTTTCTTAACAGGACATGTTTGCATTGTTTGTAAAGACAAGGTTGTATTGCTTCTCTGCCAGAATAAATGGCACATGTAATTCTCGTTTAATACTCCTTTTAAAACTTCTGCTTATTTGCTTTTTATGTTTATTTCTGCAAATTGATTAGAGAGAAATTTGTTTATACCAAAACAGGACAATAGAAAACTGTAATTCTATTTCATTACAGGCTCAGTATTTCTGCCCTAGAGAATATAATCAAACAAAAGAGACACCCACCCCTTCTTTTGAACAGCTTTAGGCTGTTGGCAAGATTTCTGCTATGCACGCCCCACTGATCATCAAATGGGCCCTGGGATTAAGATTACTATCTCAGACTGAGGGCCAAATTTTGCATAGCAATTATAACTTGCTACTTAGAATTATTTGATAGGGAATTCAGGATATGTGAAGCATTCTAATTAATTTTAGATATTTTCTGTCTTATAGTGATTCAAAGGATCAAAATACAATTTAACCTAAGGTTGGATGTAGAATAATCTAGGCGACCTCACTGTAACATACTATAATTTCTATTTTATGGAACAGGTAATAAGCATTGGTGTCTCATACTTATAATCTTAGCTATGCAGACAGTTAAAATCAGAGGATAATGGATTCAAAGCTAGCATGGGAAAGAAAGTCTATGAGATGCTTATCTCCAATTTAAACACACACACACACACACACACACACACACACACACAGAAATAGTAGTATGGCTGAAATGTTAAAACACCAGCTTTGAGTGTAAAAGCTAAGGAACTGTGCTCAGACCCTGAGTTCAAACCCTAGTACTGACAAATACAATAAGAGGGGGAACAGAATCTCTTAAGAGAAAATAATGTTCCCAAGGTTACATATAAGCAGAATTAAGAACTCTCATTTATACCTGTGATCTCTGACTCTTCAGTACAATGCTACTTCATTCCATGCTCGGGATACTTCCTTATGTGATTGCATGTGTATTTACTTTATTGTATTAGAATATCCAGGACTTAACTCTCCACTTAAATGACATAGATTGACTAGTTGTATCAAAAAGTAAGACCCATTCATCTGCTGACTAAAGAGACACATCTTGCTGACAAAAACAAACATATTCTCAAAGTGAAAATCTAGAATAAAATCTTTCAAGTAAATGGTCCCCATAAACAGGCTGGAGTGGCAATACTAATGTTAGATAAAATAGATGTCAAATTAAAATTAGTGAGAAGAAACAAAGGAGGACATTACATACTAATTAAAGGGAACTTTCTTACAGGAGGATATAACAATTCTAAATAACTATATACCAAATGCAGTAGCACCCAACTTCATCAAACAAATACTGCTTAACCTAAAAATCACACACAGACATCCAAACACATTGATGGTTGGTGACTTCAACACATCACTGTTGCCTCAGGATAGATTATACAGAGGCAACTTCAGCAAAGAAACTTCAGACTTAAACAACTGCATTGGCCAACTAGACTTAACAGACATCTACAGAATATTTTACCCAGCAGTATCAGAATAAGCATTCTTCTTGGAAGCTCTTGGAACATTCCCCAAAATAGACCACATTTTAGGTCACAAAGTAAATCTGTACAAATTCAAAAAATGAAATTATTCCCTGAATTCTGTCAGATCACAATAGAATAAAATTAGAGCTCAACACCAAAGACATCACAGAAAATTCTCTAACTCATGGAGACTGAGCATCACATTGCTGAATGACCAATGGATCACTGAAGAGCTTAGAGTGGAAATCCAAATGTTTGTGGAACTTAACAAAAATGAACACAAAATATCACCTCTTCTGAGACAGAGCAAGGCAATGTTCAGAGGAAAATTTATACCTCTAGTGCCTACATCAACAAATTGGAGAAATCTCAACTCAACACTTTTATGATGAATGAACCTCAAGCTTCTTGGGAAACAAGAAGCCAAACCTTAAACCAGTAAGTGAAAACAAATAGTAAAAAAATCATAAATGAGTTGTTAGCAACTAAAAAATCTATAGAAATAATCAACAAAAAAGTTGATTCTTTGAAAAAGCGAAAAAAAGATAGACTATTAGTAAATCTGACCAGAGAAAGAAGAGAACACATCCAAATAAATAAAATTAGAGGTGAGAACAGGAACATCATGACAGAAACAAGCAAGATTCAGAACATTCTAAGGAAATACTTCACAAACCTTTATGCTAACAAATTAGAGCATCTGGAAGAAATGTAAGAATTCCTAGATAATATTGGTTTTGAAGATTTAAACCAACTAAACACACCCAAATAATGAAGGTAGAAATGACAATGAAATATCTCCAAGCCAAGAAAAGCCTAGGACATAATTGATTTATAGCTGGATTCTATAAAGTCTTCAAAGGAGAACTTACTCCAACACTGCTTAAACTTTTCAATGAAATAAAAAACGAAAGATCACAACCAAACCCATTCTATGAAGCCAGTGTAACAGTCACCCCAAAATCAGATAGGGACTCAACAAAGAAAGAGAACTATACACCTATTTCTTTGATGAACAGTGATGCACAACTTGTCAATAAACTTCTGGCCAACTGCCGGGAGACAGTGGCTCATGCCTGTAATGCTAGCTACTCAGGAGGTTGAGATCTGAGGATCACGGTTCAAAGCCAGCCTGGGCAGGAAAGTCCGTAAGACTCTTATCTCCAATAAAAACCACTAGGAAACGGGAAGTGATGCTGTGGCTCAAGTGGTAGAGTACTCACCTTGAGCTGAAGAGCGCAGGGACAGCGCCCATGCCCCACGACCAACCAAAAAAAAAAAAAAACTTCTGGCCAACTAAATTCAACAACTAGCCAAAACAAAACAAAAACAACCCTACAGTATGACCAAATGGAATTCATTTCAGGGATACAAAGCTGGTTCAATATACTCAGGTCAAATAATGTAATTGAAAACATCAACAGAAGTAAGGACAAGAACCACATGATCATCTCAACAGATACAGAAAACAGCAAGATTCAGCACCTCTTTATGTTAAAGGTCTGGAAAAGCTAGGAATCCATGGGACTTTTTCAATATAATAAAGGCTGTCTAGGACAAACTTATAGCCAGCATTATACTTAATGGTGAAAAGTTAAAAACATTTCTTCTAAAATCAGGAATTAGATGAGCATGTCTGCTCTCTCCATTCTTCTTCAATATAGTATTGGAATTCCTAGCCAGAACAATAAGGCAATAGAAAATCATGCAGGGGATCCAATTAGGTAAAGATGAAGTAAAACTCTCCCTTTTTGGAAAATCATGCAGGGGATCCAATTAGGTAAAGATGAAGTAAAACTCTCCTTTTTTTTTAATATGACATGATCCTGTATTTACAGAACCTCAAGTTACTTGAGCGGATCTGAAACTTTGGCAAAGTAGCAGAATATAAAATTAACACAAAAACCGGTAGCTTTTCTGAATGCCAACAATGAGAAGAGCTGACTGAAATAAGGAAAGCAACTACATTGTAATAGCTTCAAAAAATACCTAAGACTTATCTTACCCAAAGACATGAAGAA